TATTTATTTGACAGAGAGAGACACAGCGAGAGAGGGAACACAAGCAGGGGGAGTGGGAGAGGGAGAAGCAGGCTTCCCGCGGAGCAGGGAGCCCGACGCGGGGCTTGATCCCAGGACCCTGGGATCGTGACCTGAGCCAAAGGCAACGCTTAACTGACTGAGCCACCCAGGCGCCCCATTGCCTCTACTTTCTTAAGAAGTAACCCAACTCGTGAAAGAGGAAGCCAAAAAAAAGGTGTGCGTGTGTGCATATGTGTGTGTGCGTCACGCACACACACAGAACAGTGCGCCCAGCTGTTTAAATTCAAAATGATAAAGAAGCCAGTTTCGGTGGTAGCTAGAATGTGGAAAAAAGATGTAATAAATCACCTCCTCTATACACACATAGACTCTAAAACAAACAAAGTAAATGGAGCATGTACACTTTCGTTCACTCATTTGACAAATATTTAGTGAGCCGTTATTCATTGTTCAAGGTGCTAGGGATAGTCATCAATAAAAATAAAGTAGCCTTAATAACTAAGACTTTAATAAATCTTCCCAAAGGAGTAAGATTTACCCATGTCAACCTATTGTAATGTTTGCTCTTGAGATACTGTATCATCCCGGTAGGGAGTCTCTAAAATGGCTCCTGGTGATCCCTGATTCCTGGTTTTGGCTCACCGTGTACTCCCCTCCCCTTGAGTGTGGGCTGGATTCCCTGACTCCCATCTAATGAATAGAATATGGCAGAAGTGATGGGACATCACTTTGGCAATTAGGTTATACTAAGACTTGCTTCTTAGGCACTCTCTCGCGCTCTCTCTGGGGGAAGCTGGCTGCCATTTCATGGCACAGTCCTGTGGAGAGGCCCTTGTGCAAGGAATTAAAGCCGGCCCACGAGTACATGAGTGAGGTTGGAAGCAGATCCTCCCCCCTCAAGCTGTGAGGTGACTGCAGGCCTGGCTGATACTTGGCTGCCTGTAAGAGACTCCAAGCCACAACCACCCAGCCAGGCTGCCCCTTGGCCCACAGAAAGTGAACGAATCTGTGCTTGTTGTTTTAAGCCACTGTGTTTTTGAGGTCATTTGTTATGTGGTAATAGCTGACGAATGCAATTTCAGGGCTGTTGTTAGTCAGGCACACCGGGAGAGGATAGGGTGAGTTAATGCAAGAAAAATGTGAGGGCATCTGCTGTCCCCGTCACAGGGAAACTGCCTCTGGGGTGAAGGCAGGCCCAGAACAGGGAGAGGGTGCTGGGCAAAAAAAAAAAAAAAAAAAAAAATGAGGATATGTACACCTAGACTGGCCGTGCGGGCCCCCAGATGGGGTGAGCAAGACTTCCGCCACAGCCAAAGCTATGAAAGCACGATGCCGATTATAGCGGAAGCACAAAGGAACACGTCTTTGGTTTACTTACCTGTGCAATTAAAGTTTTCAGGGCCAGTAAGCGCCCCTGGGCTGCAGCTTCATGAAGTGGGGATCGGTCAGCCCAGCAATCTGAAACACAAATCAAGCTCAGAGTCAAGGTCTGGAGTCTTCTTCCGGCTGTTCAGTCCCATTGCCCACCCACCGTGGGAGGGGGTTTGGGGGAGACAAGGGCAGCTCGTACCACACATCGGGCTTTCTCATTATCAGCCACTTTCAGGGTGATAAGCCACTTGAGTGTACAGCTCACGGGTCTAGTGGTGTGTGCAGAGGGAGCAAAGACCATCTCTCTCACTCTTTGGGGGGCAGTTTTAACAAGCAATAGATTTAGTTCGAATACATATTGCCCCGGGCCTGGATCTGACAGCTCTAAACAAGGCAAAGTGAAGGGCAAAGCTTCCCTCATCTGCAGGGAAGGCTCTACAGAGCCTCCCTGCTTTCATCCTGCCCCTGCCTCCCACCCTCACCTCTACCCTGAAAACTCAACAGCCTGGACCCCACGAAGGAGGCTGGAGGATCAGGGGAAATGGGTTGGTTCTCAATGCCCTAGGTAATTGTCTCAGTTTCATTTTGGTCATGAGGCATATCTATTACCATGATGCAGAATAGGTATGGTTTTTCAGATGACACAGTCTTCCACAATTTCCTGTGGGCAGTTGAACGTGACAGCTAAGTGCGGAGCCCGTGGGGCCACACTGCCTGGGGTCAAGTCCGACCTCAACCCCTTTCTGCCGAGAGGGGCAAGTTACTAAAATTAATTTTGACCTCAATTTCGTGATCTGTAAAATGGGGGGTCTAGTAATTTGGTATTTAGCAAGTGCTTTGGTCTCAAAGTAGGCCAATAAAACACATCCATAATGTTAGGTATTCAAGGAACTTATGATTAATAAGTACCCATGGTAGGGTGAGTATTTTTTTTTTCCCTGTAATCACTTGTTAGTAAACAAGACTAACCAGCTTCAAGGGGCATTTGAGAAGTAAGCCTCTTTAAACATGCCAAAGGGCAATCATTTGTTTGGGATGAACACCTGTTCCAGTTTGTAAAATTTCAAACATAATTGTGCTCTTTGTTCACCGAATAGCATGTAACACAATTTGGATTTCACACAAAGGGTCCATCTTACCAACCTTTTCTAGGGGATCCTGATGATGCCAAGAATTCGGGTTTTTCTATACCTGTGACCTTGGCAAACACAACCCCGCCAAAGATGGGATTATGTGAGTGTGAAATAGCTTGAGGCCACAAGGACAGAGTGAACTTCTCCAACAGATGAGAACAAGGGCCATAAACATTTCAGTAGGCGCTCTTCCTATATTGCAATTCAATTTTTATCTTCTCTTACCCTTGGGGTTATGAAAAGATGCAAGGCTAGAATGAACTCTATGGGGTTGGATTGAAATTGGAGTAGCTGGTACGAAAAGGTGATTTTCAACATGTATGTATTTATGTTTCTATTCATATTTATATTACCTTAACAAGGTTTTGGAGAAATGGCTGATTCCGGGGCCAGGCCGGGAAAAATATAAGATGGGCCTTGAACACCTTGCCGGAAACACAATGAATGATGGGACATGTCAAAAAGACATGGAAGCTGGCTTGCAGGGGCTTCCCCTGGTCAAACATGGGACGACTTGAGCATCGAAATAAAAAATGGTAGTAGGAGATTATACCCTATCAAATGAAATAGGAATCTCTAAGTCCTCACTGATATAAATTAACATATACATAGCAAGGAGGAAGCTCTTCCTCATAGTAGAACACCAACTGGGAAATGTAGAAGAAATTGTCGAATCTGACTCGAGTTGTCTCCTCACAAAATAATTACTAGTTATAAAGGAAACACGGGCCATTTTATGGTGGAACAAAATTGTAGACACCACCTTACCCAGGGAATCAAAGTTAGCATCAGAAGTGATGGGACAGATTGGCACAGTGTGTCATGGGCGATGGGTGACATCACGTGCTGTCAGAGGGAATGCAACGATAAAAACACACCATAGCTTGTGTAATATTCCTGCTCGAGATGCATAACCCAAATCAAACCCCGAGGACACTGTGAACCAACTCACCGAGGGACATTCTGCAAAGTAAGTGGCCTGTAACCAGTTCAAGGAGGGACTGAGGAACCACTGCAGATGGCAGAAGGCTGATGAGACACAACATCTAAAGGCCCACATGGGATCCTTTCACTCTCAAGGACATTATTAGGATAGTTGGCTAAATAGGAATGCAGGTCTCTGGGCAAAGAGAAGTGGGAATTCTTTGTACCACTCTTGTAACTTTTCTGTCACTTTGAAATTAGTTCCAAAACTAAAAAGTGTGATACACACACATATATAAACTGGAACTAATTTATATATAAGTTTATCTGTACACACATATAATCACTGGGTTTTCATATTCCTGATACGAATGTGTGATGCTTTTATAAGAAAAACAGATAAAAATGTTAACAGGGAAAAAATCTTGTGCTCGTATCTCCACTTGTTCCTGAGTCAGTGAAAAGCTGATGAATGGAGTATTTTTAAATCTCTTTCGACATTTATAATTTGCATAAGCTGAGAATAATGAGATAATGAATGCATATAATCCTCAGTTAGTCAGCCCTGGTTTTCTTCTAATACATCTCCCCCTCATTCAACATGAACCGTGTGTCAGACGCGTCGCCCTCTTGCCTCATCGCTCTTGGCAATGGACACAGGCACTGGGGTTGGAAGGACAGTCTTCACCCACGGATGGCAACTCAGCCCTCTGACTAATGTAAGAAGCAAACCCACAGCCACAGCTCGGTTATTCTTTTGTTCCAAGAAAAGCCAGTCAACCCGAGTCACCTGAAGGTATATTATCTAAGTGTTTGATTCAAAAATAAAAACAAGGTTTACATGGTAACTTGCTATTATGAAATTAGAATACTAACATGAAATGGCTTTATTATTTTTAAAACTTACCTCCAGGTGGGCTGTGGCGTCCCCTTTCCTTCTGAGAAGCAGGAACCTTAACCACATCTTTGTCCTATTTCTAGTAACTTCTGTTACTCACCAGTCCCATAAGACCCACTGCACACATACAATGGAGAGATCTCCAAACATAATGTTGAGTGAAGGAAGCCAGACACCAAAGAGCATGTGCTGTGTGATCCCTTTCTCTAATGTACGAAAGGGGGCCCAACTCACCTGGGGTGTTAGGAGTCAGAAGGACCCCAAGGAGGGGCGGGGGTTGACTGGAAGAGGAAAGAGTAGGGGCCGTGCTGATAATATGCAGTTTCTGGCTCCTGGGAGCCGAAACCTGATCACGTTCACCTTGTGAAAATCCATGCAGATGTTCACTTAGAATTTGTGCCCTTGTCTGTATTTACAAAGTACTTCAATAAAGAGATTTTGAAACGACTAGTCTACGGGTCAGTCCACTTGAGCCACCTCTCCTGGTGCCCCTGTTAATGCAGCACCCTCTGACACCCCTGCCTCTGATGTCATGGGAAGCCTGTGGGGCCATCTTCCACTCCACCATGAAAGCAGGAATGGTGAGCTGTCCCTGGCTTGTCCCTCACCACAGGACTGCTCTCCGCTTCTCTTTTCCCATAGGAGAGGCCCAGGGGGGGCAGCTCGGCCCGGGGGGCAGCTCAGCAAGTTGCCTGAGCGGACTTCCACCTTGAGCGGGAAATACCAAGCTCCCTTCCTGTCAGGGTCCCCTGATCTCAACTGATATTTCTCCTGGAGCCCCCACCCTTGGCCTTCCAGAGAGGGAGCACCCCCAAAATGCATGCCAACCCATTTGTCCCACATGAAGAGATCTCACTTGCAGCAAGTGGCAGAAACAGTACCGAATTCCAAGGTTTTGTGACTTAGAACACCCCCTGCTCTGGCGTTAAGAACTACTAGTTTTAAATCCCGCCTAACTTCAAGGCCGATTTATCGGCCCAGGATGCTTAGCTCTATCCACCATCTACTCATACATAGCATGAAATGAATCCATTCGTATCACCGTCAATGTAGAACTCATTTTTGCTTCCCAGCTGGAAACAAAACCACTCTCAAGGGAAGTCACCTTTCTAGTCACATTGTTTTCCAGCACTTGCTTCCAAGGACCTTGAGTTTTCACACAAAACCCTTTCCAGCAACTCCACCATGGTGGGCTCTCCTGTTTTCCTCTTCTTATTCCCAACACGCAGCCTCTCACTCTTATCAGTCTTGTTTTGCAAATTGGAGCTAATTGTGAGAAATTAGGGATAAAAGGTAGCTGGCAACTAGGGAGTTTTTCCATTCCTTTCAGGAAATATCAGCTAAGCTCTCCAAATAAATGAACGCCTAAGTAGGAATCAACCATTCTCTTCTAAGGCAGCCTATTTTTAGTCCCTTGGCAGACTGCCTGGGTCACAGGGCTGCAAGCACATTAGGAAGATAGTTTACTGGACAAATATGTTTACTTGTTCCTGATGAGGTGTATGGAAAATGTTCAAGTACTTTTTCATCCCCCCCCCTTTGACTTTTTCTCAGAATATGATTCATATCTCTAGTTCTCAGATTCTTTGAATAGCAATTTCATGACAACTTCTAAAACCACAGATTTCAATAACAAAATCGGTTCCGAAGGAATACAGTTGTCTGAGTGCCAAGTATTCAAGATAAAACTTATTATGACTATTTAAAAAAAAATTTTTTTTTGCAATTTTCCCCTTCCTAAGTCCAACAAGTATTTAAGATTACTGGTTTATTATTTTTAAAGAACCACCTAACTGGTTATAATCTCTGGTGCACATGGAACAATCTTTGTTCTCTTAATTCAAGTTCCAAAATCATATGAACCAATATCTTCTCCTGTAGCATCTATCAAATAAAAAAATTCAAAAGGAATCTCAATTTTGAAACAAAATATACACAAGAGCCTAGCAGAATTAGTGGTATTTTAAGTCAAACAAAGGTAATTGGCAAAAACCCATATTATAATAATTTCCTGGGATACCTAAAATATTATACTAAAACTGAGTTAAAATGCATACTCTCTAGAACACGCAGTTCTTGTCAGGAGATGCACCATGGTCAACAAACATCTTTCTGTAGGGTGTTAGAAAGAAGGTGCCCTTGAGCCCATCACGAGCAGGAGAGCTGTGGGCTAAAGGTAACAGGGGGTGTGGGCAGAGCCCCTGCCAAGGACTGGGTGTCCAAATTTGGGAAAGCCAGCAGGCACTTGTGAGAGGTCACTCTGCAGAGGGTGGCTGGGCCAAGGCCTGAGAAGACAACCAGCAAAACTCAACAAGGGTAGAAAGCTAGGTAGAGGATTAGGCAAGAATGGACCAAAAGCAGGAAAAACCTGGTGGAAGGGGAAGGACAGGAAAAAGGAATCAGGATGTTGAGTCACACAGAGGCGTGGCCATCAAATCAAGGTGAGTCCTTTTTGAATTTAGAACAAGGTCAACTGATTCTAAGTGTTACACACTCAGACTCCAACTAATCTTTTACATTTGGCTTAACATAAAATTAAAAAAAAAAAAAGAGTACAATAGTTCCACAATCTCTTATCTGCAGTTGTAAAATCGCCCACATTTTGAAAACCAAGCTTTCCCCCAAGTTTGATGCAAACTCCTTTGGCAGCTAAACATGGTGAGGACTCAGGTTAAGCAATTTATTCTTTTTCATTTGTATTTCCGCTTAGTGTAAAATATCAAATATAATACAGAAATAGAAATATCAAAATGTTTGATTATGGGAGTACTGTGAGATAATACACTGTACACGCCGTGCAGTCTTTCCAGTATCCCCAAAACTCCTGAATCCTGAACCACGTCTGGCCCAAGGGTCATGAAAACAGATGATCAACCTGTAGCTCGATACTTTATTTTTATCAAGTTTGATGACCAAGCCCTGGACTAAATATAGCTTCAATTCTGGCCAAATTAAGCAAAGGCGGAAAAATCATATACCACATCTGTCAGGAGAAAATGCCTGCAGAAATCTCTATGGGCTGATGGTGGGATCCAGTGATTCATCCGGTGCTCGAGATGCAGCACCAAGGGCCAATGACAATGTTTTAAACTTAAATACATAGGTATCTATAATTGACCAATTACACAAAGAAGCCCGAAAAATCAAAAAACCCGCCAGCCATAGTTTACCTCAAGTCTGGTAAGTTATTGACAAATGTAATAGTTTAAGCCACAAAGACATATTGAATGATGCATTCCAGAATATGAGAGTCCAGAAGAAAGCGTGCCAGGACCTATGACAGGCTAAACCATGTCCTGGCTGAGTTTTTAACTACCCTCCCCTTGTTTTTGACAGCTCTGATGATAGTTTACAGGAACATAATATGCTATTGGAATCAAGAAATTTAACCTTGGACTGAGAGACTTATTCTAAGTCAATTAGCTAACTTACTGATTAAATGTCACATATTTTCCCAACCGACATTTGTCTGACCCGTGAGCAGCAAAGAGAATTTCCAGTTTGAGCTGAAGACCGGCACAAAATTTTGTTCGTTATTTTTAATACATCTATTTTTTTTTTATTTATTTTTTTTAAAAGATTTTATTTATTTATTTATTTGAGAGAGAGAATGAGAGAGAGAGAGCATGAGATGGGGGAGGGTCAGAGGGAGAAGCAGACTCCCCGCCGAGCAGGGAGCCCGATGCGGGACTCGATCCCGGGACTCCGGGATCATGACCTGAGCCGAAGGCAGTCGCTTAACCGACTGAGCCACCCAGGCGCCCCTATTTTTAATACATCTAGCTTTAAGTATATAGCATCTGACTCCTAACAGTGTCAAAAGAAAAAAAACAACAACACTGTTTCTGGCATGCTGCTGCCTACATTATTATAGGAAGCCTTATTTACCACATCTGGATATACTGTCTATTATATATACGTGTGGGTGTGTGTGTGTATTCAGAAACACAGTCATCCACACACACATATATGTATACATAGAAAGGAAATTAAACTGAGAAATTGACATGTACTATTCTCCCCCGCCTCATTAATGATAATCAAAAAATACGCTTTTGACTTTATAACACCATGCTACTTGCAAATTAAATGAATATTATCCTAGGAGCTTGACCAAATGAGGACATTTGAGGTAAAGAATGAATGAGCTCTATTTAAGAAATCTGTATTATGGTCCAGACCTAAATCCAAACCATGTTTACATGGGTTTTGACCATTACCGAATCTTTTTAAGAGTGTACTTAATTCAGGATGACAAAGACAGAAACAATGCACATGAGCAACAGGACAAAACATTCTTAACATGCTCCTGCCAATATGGACTTTGTTGGACTTTACCTCATTTAAGCCGTGAGGAGGATCAATCTACAAGAACATCCACACTGTGTTACTGAAACTCTTAGAAAGCCCCTGCCCACACTTACATATTAAATTAGAAAACAGATTTTCAGATCACACTTAATTCAAAATGAAAGAGAAACTTTTTTTAAAACAGTCTAAGCAACATACCTCCCTGAAATGTGTGACAAATGTAATCCCCGAAAGAAATCCTCTTTCCACATTCCGGGCCTTCTGACACTTCCTGAAACTTCAAGATTCTCTTCATTTCCCCCAGTGAACTGAAGCATTCTGAGGCTTTGCCTTTGGAGGTCTTATTTTTGGGGGGGATGAGACTACCGTCATTTAGTGTCTTCAAACTTAATCTACTGTATTGGAATCACATTGCACAGGTCTATTTTGAAAGAGAATCCCAGGTGCAAATTGACATGGATACTAGATCAGGAATGACATCATCCTGGAACCCCTATGAACACTAAGAATACAGAGGGAAATGGTGAACTCTGTTTACAAATAAATACTCCTCTATCAAGTGACCATCCCAGCAGTGACAAGTGTATCTGATTCATTTACTTTTGTGGCAATTCACTCCAATTAAGGTGAATCATTTCTTCAGAGAACTGGAAACTAAACCCTACAGAGCATGAGATTTTAAAATGTTTTTCCCAAATGCTGGCATTTCATATTAGAAAAACCTTTGTTGGCAGGGCTTTGCACAGCGCCGTGTATAAATGGGTTTAGTGCAGGGTTTCTCCTGACAGTGATGAGTAGCTAATGGATTCGAACTGCAAATGACAACACAAAAATATATATAGCATGCCACATTTGCTGCTTTAAATCAGATTTACTGGTCATTCTATTTCCTGAGGAAACTTAGTCTTGTTAGAATGCATTGTTAAAGTTTGCTTAAAAATATTAAAGAAAATTATTCCATATAAGTCATTCTTTAGGTTAGTAGAAATGAGGTTTCTGCAAATACTCTTAGAAAGCCACTACCCTATTTACTTCTTAAATAAGAGCCACTAACAGAACTACAAACTTGCAAAAAATAAAGCTGAAAATCCTTCAAATTGGTGCAGTCAAAATCATTTGCTACTTTAAATAATAATTTTTAAAACTACCCACACAAAGCCAAAGTATAAATAAAATCTGCCCTCTAGAAATATTATTCATATGAACTATCTAGGAGGGTTTTTTTTTTTTTTTTAAGTTTTAGGAGCAAATCCGTGTATTTTTACCTGGAATTCCACCATAGATCTCTTCTGCTATCCTAGCCGCTTCTTTTCTATTTCCTTTGACGATATAGAAGTGAGTTAGGAGAGCCAAACAAACTTTAATTAAAAGTTTGAAGAAAAAAAAAGTAGCAAACATTGTAATAAAAATGTTTTTAAAGCCATAGGAAACAGGACTGTCTTCCATTTTGGCTTACACTCTGTATAGGTTCCTGGTACTGCAAAATCTCACTGAGTTATAATTGGTATCATATGACATCTATTTTCAACTTTCTAGCCCTTGGTGCTCCTGTTACTGAGAACTCGCTCGTACATTCTAAGCTAACTGTGATTTGGCGGCTGCGTGTGCAGTCTCTCATAGCAATGTGGAATGAACTCCAGAAACTTCCTTTTAGACCTGCATTCCTTAGTGCTATTTAACACACAGGATTCCTGGCCAGATCTTTTTTATTCCTAAATCCCAATTTGTGCTACATTATGTGGGAAGGCAGTTATTGGAGAGAGAAAACAAACTTCTCAGATCCCATGGGGACGGAGCAAGTTACCTGAAGTGGGAAGAACTGACGCCAGACCATTTCATTTTCTCTTCCTCCTGAGGTTTTTGAGGAGATAATGCTCCAATCTAAAATATGACCATCTGAACAAGACCATTTACTCTAAGGCAGTATTTAGTAAAGGGCCCCTCTTGGATGCCTCTCCAAGTGGATGTGTCCGATTGAAAGCATTAGACCACTTGCTCTCATGGTCTCATCCGTGACAAGGTCTGCCGGCAAAGCCCATCATGCGTTTCCCATTTCAAGTGTCAGTAAAGGTGGTGCCTCGGACTGGAATATGGGCGCTCTCCTTGACTGTGGAAGAGTTACAGCAAAATGGATGAAGAAGATGCCCTCCATTCTGGGTGAATTACCCAAAGATTCTATGTATCAATACCTTCCCTCGTTGGACAGTTCTCTTCCAGCCCTAACTCTTCAACGTGTGTCGGCGGGCCAATACAAGGGAAATCAACTTCTTGTTCATTTCCCTCACCTACAAAAATTAGATGAGGAAAATCCAGGTCTCCTCTTTCATTCTTGGCTATATTAGATTTTCAAAAATCTCTACAAACTATTGAAAAAGGCAAGCCAAAAAAAAAAAAAAAACATTGCAAGAGCAGACTAAAGAAATCTTACTTACTAAATGCTTTATGCAAAAAATATGGGAGTTTCTCATAGCACTCAGGCAAATTAGAATGACGACCTCTATGAGAACTGGCTCCCTATAGTCTGGGGAAAGGCTGATGTGTGAGCAGACAGCCTTGTGTCACAGTATAAGCTGCGTCCATTTCAGTGAATTACAGAACCAGGGAAGATCCGGTGCAGTTCCCAAGCCCAAGAACTGAGATCAACATACAGGGTTTCTGGACCCAGCTTAGTCCCGACCTACAGCTTCCTACCTAGAGAGTGCCAACATAGGAGAATCCGCGAACACAAGCATCTGTGAACACAAGAACACTGCCCTCTAAGAAGCCCGTCCTTTACTCAAGTCAGCCCAGTGACATTATAGGATGTTATTCAATCTTGTTCGGGCCTTAATCTTCATTTAAAACATGACTGTACTTTCTGTGTTATACACCAGAAAAGTTGGCCATCAGGAGCTCGGCTTTTTTGTAAGGTTCAAATGGATGTCTATGCTATTTCTGAGAGACCATCTTTAACTACGTTTGAGCATTACATCTGAGATGGGCACAAAAGGCCACTGAAGTAAGGGGTTAATTCACAGCATCCTTCACAGACGACATCCTCTGTGGCACCACAGTTTGGGGCCAGATAATTCTTTGTTGGGGGCACGCGGTTATCCAAAAGCATTGTAGGCTATCCAGGAGCACCTCTGCCCTCTGTCCACTCAATGCCAACACCCCCACTCCCATCCAGGGCTAACAACCAGATATGTCTCCAGACACTGCCACGTGTCCCCTGTGGGTCAAAATCGCCAGCCCCCCTCCTCCCCTACCTCCTACCACATCCACTTAAGAACCACTGAGCCATAGCCAAATATAAAGAACAAAGGAAAATCAACTCCCCAAAGTACTAGTGAATACAAATTAAATTTTGTACAGAACTTGAATTTTTAGAATTTCATATTTAAAAAAGCCCAGCCACGGGATGATACAATTTAACATCTCGCCATATTCTTTCAGGAACGCGGAGAAGAAGAGCCCTTTAAAAATCCTGTGCAAAAGTAAACACAGACCTGTGATACCCTGACTTTGCCAAAAATGAGTTTTGGCGGAAGATAAATCAGAACATACCAACGTAGAGGACTGCTTTCCACTGCTTCCAACAAAAGGGGTGGGAGAAGCTGGGCTTCTGTAAATGAAATCAAAATTCAAATTCCTTTTAAAATAGCTTACAAGATAGAAAGTGTAATTATGTAGTTTGCACACACAATAGCTTCTAGATGTATTCACTTGTCTCATGCGACAACTCCAGCGCAGGGAAAAACAGGGCTTGTGTGGATCAGGACACAGAGGCACAATTCAACTTGCTACTCCATGAGTAGAGACAACGTACTCTAGAAAGAAAAGATGACAGAGTAATTCATCATCTGAAGGACAGTTCCTATTTTACTAACAGACCAAGCAACACATCTAATGGCAGTGAAAGAGCAAGCAGACGAGGGAGGGGGTGGGAGTGGGGCACGGTTAAACGAGTAAAATCATATTCTCTTCATCAAAGAAGACAAACTCAGAAAATTGTCAAAATGTCATTTTGGTCTTTATTTTTGGACATGTAGTGTGTTTTCATAAACCAGTTTCATATGTGCTAGTTTTTGTAATATCAAAAGAAATACAATATATTTTTCATAAATTCCTCATCACTGCAAGTTCACGTTCAAATAAATGTAAGTAGCGGGGTCGAACAATATGGTTCCACATGTTGACCAGTGCAACACTGACAGTTACAATTAAGGTATCCAGGAAGCCTGAAAATTAAGATTTACTAGAACAAGCAAATTTACTTCCCTTTGTTAAAAACAAAGGACTAATTTTGATTTACAAATTACATATTTTACATGCAAGTTGACATCCCATTTCCATCTGAAATGAATGGCCATCTCAAAAATACGCTGAGAAACAAAAATGTAAGAACAAATAGTAGTATGCCCTTAAAAACTGCTGAAGCGAATAAATAAAAACACAGGTTAGTTTCTTGCTTTAGCGTGCATATTGGCACTGTTTATTTCATATTTACATAAATCAGTTTCTGTGCATTAAAAATCCCAATAAGATTTAATGGTTCGGGTCAGTCCATTTTTCTTTAACAAAAGATCCCTTAACTTCCAGGTTTTAAGAATCGCACTCGCGCATTTGTGTTTTGTGCCAAAACACAAATCGTTATTTCTTACAGATCAGTGGCAACCGGTTAACAGGCATGTTAAGATACTTTTTAAAAAAGAAGTTTTATGAGCGTTGTCGTTAAAAACAAAAGGAAACCAATCCTGTACAGAACCCCAATACTGCCAGCAGCTTCCTAGTGCACCACAAGCACCTCTTTCTTTGGATTTCACAGTCCTTTATCACAAAAACGTACTCTAAGGAGTTCAAGGAGTTAATAAGACACACCATGTGGATAATTTGGGGTTTAAAAACCCATGGCTCTGGGCAACAACAATTACAGTTAACAACAGACAACCACAAAGAGACTGTGTTCCTACAATTTTCAGACTCAATTAGCTATCAACAGAACATACTGGGGTGAAGACTCCTGCACACTGACAAGACTTCTCAGACAGCAGCTAGGCCACAAGTGAAGGGAAGTGACTTCTATCAAAGGTAGCGGAGGGGAGCAGCTGAGTTGGAGATGGCACAGCTCGTACGTTCTGCTCGGAAAACACGAAGGCATTTACAGAGGACTCAGTGATGCCGGGGAAGGCGCGGAGGGTTTCTCTGCTCTGTCGCCAACAGTGGTATTGGTCCCTAGCATTCCAGAAGCAAGAAGCTTTTTCACACACACAAATTAAGACGAAGGCTCTACCTAGGAGAACGCATACGACAAGACCGAAGAAGTAATCGGAGTCTGCCGACCATTTTTCCTGGCATTGAAAGCCTGAGCATTTTTGGCATGTTAGATAGTTTACCATTCCATCAACTGTGACTACAATGAAGTGAGCCATCTGAGCGATAAACAAAGAGCATCTGAATGTGCCCCTGGTCCTCAACAGCACGAAGTGTCTACTTCAATGTTCCACACACAGTAGGAGATGCTTAAAACATGCCAATAACTGATGGACCATCTTGCTCAAGAAACCTGCTGACGATCTGTAACACTGAGCGTACCAAATAAACGTCTAAGAACATGACCTCAATGACTAAAATGTGTCTGAACAGGACTCAAAAAGAGTTCATATCGTTGTTGTACTTCCCAAAAGAAAACCTGTAAACATCTGGTGAATGTCTAATTGATGGTAGAACATTTAAAATTGGCCCAAAAATGCCCAGAAAACATTTGGCCTTTCAGCACCCAAAGCTCCCAAAATATAATTTTAAAACATCTCTGTTAGAGGGATTTCAGTAGTCTGAAAAATTTCATACCTGAGTGGCTTCAATGTTCTCTCCTAAGTCTTAAGTAAGTTAAGTGCAAGGAGTTTCTACACTCAGGAATTGCATAAGTTTTTATCTTTCCTCAAAATAAAACATTGAATGATATAGAGGTAGCATAACTTACTAAATTAACTTTAAAAAAAAAGAAAAAAGCAAGGTTATTTTCCATCGTCTTACTAGGACTATTACAAATGTGTAAAACCTTACAATCCAGGCTTTCTTCTACCTGGGTTTAGACATCTCATTATTCTCGCCCCCTTTTTTACTGTAAGGATATTGATGAGTCCAGGCGCCCTTGGGCCCTGTGGCATCTATTGCGACATCGATGAGAGAATCTGGAGTCATCCATCTCAGGAAAAGGAGGAATAGAAAGTTGAATACAGCCAACAAAGCAAAAATGCAGCCTGTTACTGGGCCACAGTGAGAGATGAGTCTGTCCAGTCGTTTGTCCATTGGTAACACAGCTTCTCCTGCCACGCGGTCGTACACCTGGCGGGAGAGAGGCCGAGAGTGAGCACTCTGACCCACAAGAAACAACGACCTGCACGGACCAGGGATGCTTTACAGATGCAAACAGGAGGCGCTTACATTTCGTTGCTGTTGTTTTAGTAAGGACGTGATTAAT